TGCCCGGGTCGTGCGGGGCCGATGCCCCGAGAGCCCAGCTGCTCCGGGCAGCGACACCTTCCGCCCCCGCTGCCCCGCAGGCACCCTGCCTCCCCTGCCCCGCCACCAAGCAGCGCCTCACCGCTGGGGCCGCTGCTCCCTCAGAGCTCTGTGGTGCTGCTCAGCGTCCGAGCCCGCCCTGCGCTGCACCAATGGCGCCGCCGACTAGAACCTTCTGGAGCGGGGAAGCGCGTCACACAGGGTGGGGCGGTGCGCATGCGCGGGCCCTTCGCGACCGCAGGCACCCTGCCTCCCCTGCCCCGCCACCAAGCAGCGCCTCACCGCTGGGGCCGCTGCTCCCTCAGAGCTCTGTGGTGCTGCTCAGCGTCCGAGCCCGCCCTGCGCTGCACCAATGGCGCCGCCGACTAGAACCTTCTGGAGCGGGGAAGCGCGTCACACAGGGTGGGGCGGTGCGCATGCGCGGGCCCTTCGCGACTCTTGCCTGGTGCGGGGGAGGGACAGCGCAGTGCCCGCGCGTCGCGCTCTCGTGCCTGCTGGCGCTTGCGCAGTGCGCCGCCTGCGCTCGGCGGGACGGGCTGTGGTGCGCGCAGTCGCCCCCGGTTTCTAGCTCCACTAGTTGCACGTCTGTCCCGCCAGTGAGGGGGCTCATCCCTCCCCCCTGCAGGCCCTGTCACCGCAAATAGGGATGAACTCACCTGTCCCCCACCTGGGAGTGACCTGGGCCACGCTCCTCTGGCTGGTCTGCACTGCAGTAAAAGCCCCGTCCCCAGGCCATGCCAGAGCCACCCCCCCACCTTACCTCAGGGTGTCCCCTATGCTGCCTTCCACTGGGCAGCCTGGCTTGTCTCTGGGAGGGGGGAGCCAAGACATGAACCCACCCCCTGCTGCCTCCAGGCAAATGCCCTAAGCCAGGCATGTCCAAAGTCCGGCCAATTGCGGCCCGTGTTCCGGTTTCATACGGCCCCACGGGTAATTTGGCAATATCTATCTTTTATGGCCCCCAACGAATCCATATGTATTGAGATCAATACATTGTAAAATCTCAGTTAATGTCAGTTGGTCTAAATCAGTTATAAATATATTTGGACACAACATGTATACTTGGTGTGATGTTCCTGTTCATATTTTTTGAACTTAAAAGTTGACAGACAACCTTTATTACCAATAATATGTAATGTACTTTACAATGTTCCCGACGTATATTTCAGCTTCCTGGATTTTTTTTTTCATCTGGCCTTCAGATATGAAAGGCAGAGTGATTTAACACCTGTTTAGATTTGTCATCCATGTGACGAAATGAAAAGTATGCCGTTTGCAATAAACTTTGCATAAAATAGTTAATTTGCATTTAATTTTAATGGTTCAAAGAATGTCAGGCAAAATGGTCGGCCCTCACACATGTTCACTTCATCAAATCTAGCCCTCTTTGAAAAAAGTTTGGACACCCCTGACCTCAGAGCATCCCTTATCCTGCTCTCCACTGGAGCAGCTTTGGTGTGGGCTGAGCTGTCCGGCCCGTTTGTCCCTCAGGAGGTAGGGGACTTGAGCCCACAACCCTGCCCTCCCCAGGTGAATGGCCTAGCCCAGAGGTGTAGCAAAGAGGGTGCGGGGGGTTAATTGCCCCTGGGTGACACGCTAGGGGGGCGCCAGGCTGGGATGAGAGCAAGTGCATGCTGTGCAGGCTCACCTGGCATGGGCGGCGAGTTATATGGCTGTCCTCCACCCACCCCCCCCTCCCTGCACCCCTCTGGCTCTGTGCTGTCCCTGCACCCTGCTCCTCCTGTGGGTTGGGAGTGAGGAGTGCTTGTCCATAGGGAGGGGCTGGACAGGCCAGGGAAAAGGTTGCTGTGACCCAGCAGCGAGTGAAAGGGGGAGTTCACTTAAAGTGCCTTTGCCTTTATGGAAAAAACAAATGAAAATGCTATTTGCTATTTATAGGGCTAAAATGCCAGGACAAAAATGAAAACAAACACACACAAAAAAAAAACCCATTGCAAAATGCAAACGTGCAAAAGACAACAAAAAAGGGAGGGAGGCAAAAATGTTTTGCTTGGGGCAGAAAAACCTAGAGCTGGCCCTGGGGGAGGGGAAGGGGCTGGGCTGGGCTGAACTGTGGGGAGGGGAGGGGAAAAATATGGAGAAGGGGCTTGTGCTGAGGGGAGAGGAGGGGAAGAGAGGGGAGGAGGTCAGGAGAAGAAGAAGAAAGGGAAAGGCACCAAGGGACAGGGGTGTAGGAGAGACAAATCTTAGGGGGCCAAGTGCAGAAAATGAGGAAAAGAGCAGGAGGGGAGGTGTCAGTGGGAGGGGGGAACAAGGTGATTGATGCTGGGAGAGGAGAGGGTAAAGGCACTGGGGACTGGAGGGGGAAGTTCTGGGAGAAGGCTTGAAAGAAGGGGTTGGCATGAGGAAGGCTGGGATGGGCAGAGGGGCATGAGGGGAATGGGGGCAAAGAGTGGTGAGGGGGTGGGCATCAGGGAAAAAGAGGGCAAAGGGGGCAGGGGCAGTGAGGGAAGGGGGAAAAAAGCCCCGATCGTCATTTTCGCGATTGGGGCTTTTTTGCGGAAAAGGCTACTGTGCTGTCTACACTGGCCCTTTTCCGGAACAGTTATTCCAGAAATAAGACTCTATATAAAACCATGGTACGCCCACATCTTGAATACTGCGTACAGACGTGGTCGCCTCATCACAAAAAAGATATGTTGTCATTGGAAAAGGTTCAGAAAAGAGCAACAAAAATGATTAGGGGTTTAGAACTGGTCCCATAGAGAGATTAAAAAGACTTGGACTTTTCATCTTAGAAAAGAGGAGACTAAGGGGGGATATGAAAGAGGTCTATAAAATCACGACTGTTGTAAGAAAAGTGAATAAGGAAAAGTTATTTACAGTAAAACCTGTGCTATCTAGCACTTAACTAGCCAGAAAACTTTAGGAACTGGCAAATTTCTGAACTGAGAACAAAACTTGTTAAAAGCAACAAAAACAAAAACAAACAAAAAAAAGAAAACTGGCACTTTAAGCCAGGCCGCTCCTCTCCGCCTCTGTGAGACGTACGTGCAGCATGTACCTGGGGGAGCCGCTCCTGATGCCAGGCCACATCCTGGACCCCCACAGTTCCTGAAAGCCCAGCAACCCTGCGGCTCGTGGCCGCCCGGCTCCCTTTCTCCCCCCACTCGCCTCTTGGCCTCCTCCCTGGCAGGTCAGCCCCCCACAGCTCCTGGCACCCCAGCAGTTCATGGCCGCCCTGGCAGCCCACCCTCCCTCCCCCACAGGTCAGCTCC